TATATATATATATATATATATATATATATATATATATATATATATTAGCTAAAACATAATTTGGGCTAAAGATTTTTCCTGTCAGCTCATGCAGCCTGTGCTTCTCCATATGTGTATGTCTGTGCGGTTTGTTTTGCCAGTCAGTGGCACCACACAGTTTACACATTGGTGAATGAAGCATCACAGCAAGTGGAGTTTTCACGCTCTTTCTTGTAAGCCTGGCTAAGACAGTGAGCCTTGATTGCTGGGCTTCACCAATGAGCAGTTTCCTCCAATTGTCCCAATTTTGTTGCTCCAGGTGATGTAACGTATTGGTATTTGAAATGCTTCTAATCTGATCCTCTCCTGAGACCAGTTTGTTATAGTAGACCTGATCAGGGGCTGACGCCTCAGGCAGCATATCCCCCAGGAACAAGGAGGTATTCAAACCTTCCACCATGTTATGGTGGTAAATCTGCAATGGGACATAAGAATCCTGTCTGGCCTGGGCATGTCTTGGGATCTCCCAGGTGAAGTGTTGCTGTGTAGAGAGATGTCTTGATTTCCCTCTTGAGCCTTTTGCCTCTGTGGTTTAAAGTTTAATGAAATACAATGACAAAAGCAAAACAAAAAAGAACAACTACTAAGTGTAAATGTTTTCCTAGACTGAAGCCATCCAGTCGTACATTGTTAACCAAAGTAAGTGGTAACCTTACCATGGGAAATATTAGCTTATAAAGTTTGCTATGTAAGGTGTTGCTCAGTTATGGTTTTAATTCATTAATTTATTTTCATAAAAAAATAAGCAGTGCAGTCAGAAAAAGGAAAAAGGTGAAAGCGTATAGATATCAGAAAAAAAAAAATGCATGAGGGAGAAGAGGGAAGTCAAGAAGACGAGGAACAAAAACAAACAAAATGATGCCATCTGCCACTAGATCCATGGAGCATGCATACAATCACACACTACAACCACCACATACACATACCTGCACACAATATTAAAACACACACCAAACCACAGACACATACACACCACCTGTCTCTGTGTTTGGGGAACTATTTAGGCAAGTTGTGCAACGATCTGTCTCATTCAGATCCACTATAAACACAAGCATTTGCTGACGGTCACAGGTCTGTTAGCATGCTGCTCAGGAGACTTTGGGTTTTGGAGCAGTTGTTCTGTGTGTTTTTTTTTTTTTTTT